TATTAACCCTAAAGAGTTGATACTAATTAGTGAAGCAAAGATATAAATTTAGAATAAAAAAGGCTAAATATCTAAAAACATTGAAGAATAATGCAAATAAAAAATAAACTTAGCTACTAATCTAAAAAATAGTATATAAGAATTAAAAGGTCCTTTAGAATAAATCTTTACAAAAATTAATGAAGAAATTGATTAATTCAAAAACTAAACTGAGAAAAAAATATAAGAAAGTGAAATAATTACTCCTGAAAACCTAGACACAGATTTAGTATTTTTAACAGATGAATAAATTAATTTGACATAATCTAAAACATATGAAAATGATTTATAGTTAATAAAGTCATTGCTCAATTAATTTTAATTTTGTGAGATATCTAGTCTTTCAAAATAAAAGATAATTGAAATCATTTCTAAATGCTATGACATTTCCAAATTACAAATAGAAACTGAAGATGAAAGAAATTAGAAAACTAAAGTATTGATTATATTAATTTTTAGCAAACACCATCATTAAAGTTTCTATGTTAGAGTCATGATTAATAAATTATTATGGTCTAACTTGATGAAAATAGTAAATTTTAATAATACTCATGTGTTTAATGTATTTCAGAAAAATAGGGAAAATACATAACACTTCGTTAATTATAATAATCTTTAGAAGCTTACAATTAATGTTCTGAATAATCATTAAAATATTGTTAATAATTAAGAGAGCAACATACAAATGAAATAATAAAAATTTGTAAGTAATTATGTGATAAATATATTTAAACCATTAATTTACAGATTTAATAATTAGAAATAAATTTAAAATCTTTTGAAAAGATAATTGAAACAAATTTATAATTTAAGGATTAAAATATCTATTAATTTGAATAAGAACAATTATTATAAAAATTAGAACCAATTTATATGGATTAAAATCCAAACCATTATTCTAAAATAATTGAAAAATAATTAGAATTAGATAAACAATTATATGGCAAGTTTGAAGAATAAATGTAAGAATTAAGTAAGTTTGAAATTAGCAGTTCAAATTTAATCAAGCTTGAATAATTAGATCATTAACTCATATTAAAAAAAATAGAAAATTAAATTGGATAATAAAAATCAAATTAGTAAAATATATAGAATGATTAAGAAGTTGTTAACTTAGAAAATGAAATAAATAGTTTTTTATCAAAAAAATTGAAATAATGTATTTTAAATGAATAATTTTAATAATTATTCCAAAATCGCGATAAATTATAAAATGATTAATAATAATTAATTTAAAATATAGTTGCAATATAAGATAAATTAAAAGAACAATAGAAGAATTGTGCAAAAGAGCAAGGAATTTCATAATAGTATTATGAGAATAAAATAATATATTTAGAAAGAATAAAAACCTAACTTAATTCCACTTCTTTTAGTGATTAAATATAGAAAGAAACTTAAATTTAAACAAATGTGACAATTGCAAGTTTTGATAAGGAAATAAATGAGGTTTCATATTTAAATTTAATTTTAGTATAAGTAAAAAATCGCTCAAAATTTATAAAATATTGCTCAACTTGAAGAAAAAAATTAAGCACTTTAATAAGACACCTTATAATCAATATTATAAAATTCTTATTAGCCTTAATTTAATAATAGCTATAAATTGGCAGCCTATTTAGTAGTTAATCACAAATTAGTTTAATGTAATAATTTAATTATACTAATAGCGCCTTAAGGAGGATTTGGATTAGCTGTTATGCAACCTCCATTACCTAAAGATAATGTAACAACTTTCGTTTTTAAAATAAATGTATGTTTATGTTTTATTAAGAAATGTAATTCATGGGCAGGAGTTGGAATTTGCCACTTGTAAACTGCTTAAGGTTTTAGTTATGATATGAACGGAAATTATACATCAACAAATCACAATACTTACCTTGCATGCGCTGGTGGATATAGAATTTCAAGTTATTAAGGTTATACTACTGGAAATAATTTTACTTATGGTGAAAGCAGCATTATTCGTTGTTAATATGATCCAAAAAATAATAAATTAAATTTATTAAATATCAATGTATAAAATATAATAATTAGGATGGAAAAACCTTGTAGATGGATATAGCTAATAATAATTTAGATATTTCCCTTTGTGTTATGATAAAATGCATTATCAATTTTCCACAGTTTATTATATAATGTGAATTCAGAAACTAGTTAAATTAAATGATGTTTTCAACTTTTTTAGTTTTAATGTTCAATTAGGAATTATTTATAAGATGGGATAAAAATTCATATAATATTTGATATCAGCTTATAGCTTATCTTCATATCAAAGTACTTAAAACTTTAGGATTCAGTAAACGCAACTATTTAATATATAATATGATTGTTAAACTGTTAAATTATCTCATTAATTTTAACATGTAATTCTATTATAAATATATTGGTGATTAATTTCTATAAAAATACTTTAGGCTTTTTGAAAAAGATCATTTTGAATAATTTATTTTTCTATTTATTTTATATTATTGAGATTAAATCATAAAATAAGCTAAAGGGTTGGTTCAAGGATTTTTTATTCTATAAACCTCTTGATTCGTTTTGATTAGACAATATAATATGAAAAAGCTATTTTATTAGAACCAACAATTATTAGAAATAAATTTTTTTTATATAAAAATGTAAAATAAAAAATTATATGGCAGATTGACTTTGCTTAAACTAAATTATTCCATATAGATTCGCTTAAATTTCAATCATGAAAAGCTTAAATAAAATTCGATTTTTAATTTAATATTTATGAAAATATTAATTGTATTTTTATTTGCAGTTGCTTATTGCTATCCAATTGTTGTCACTAATACAGACTTGAGCCCTTCTGATTTATTTATCAATCAAATAGATTTGATGAGTAAAATAAGACAGCAAGTAAATTAAAATATTATTTAGTAGGAAAACAAAAAAGTTATCTTAATAAATATTCAAACATCTCATTAAGATAATGAAATATTCTAAAGCAAATTACTCAAAAGGATAGAAAGTTTAAAGAATTTTAAAAAATTGTTAAAATCTAAATCCACTTTTGTTTCCCCATTTGTAGATTATTCTTCAATCCAGTTTGCTTAAGGACTCTAAAAGGATAATTAAGTAATTAGCTTTATTTATTCTAGGCACTTTTGAAATAGGCTATTATAATTTTTGTATAAATTATTACAGAGTTGTACTACAGTATTAAGTTAAAAGGCGCTTTTATTTTTTAAAATCATATATATTAATTAGGTATGTATAGGCTTTAAAAGGCAATTATATAGATTGTAATATTATTTTGAATAGGAAATCTTTTTGAAATTAATTAGCTATAGGTACTCTTAGATTCTGATAAAGCTATTGAATTGGATATCAATAATTCTAAAGTATATAGAGGTGTTAAAAAAAGTATAAAGAATAGACTTTTTATGATAAAATATCTGAAACACAAACAGGGCACTAATAAATTATAACAGTTAAATTGAATTAAATCCTAATGATGCTTATACTTATAATAACAGAGGTATTAGAATATTAGGATGAATAGGAATAAAAATGAAGGCTCTAAAAAATTATAACAAAGCCATTAAATAAGATTTTAATATAATTTACAATTAAAGATTGAATTTAGTTTGTAGGTTTTTATAGCAGTTTGGATTAAAGCTTAGGTAATAAGGATTAAGCCATTCAATCAGATATGAAACGTACTATAAATTACAATAACAGTAGTAATCAAAGTATTAAATTAAATAGAATTTATTTACTGAAGTATTAGAAAATTTGATCAAACATTAAAGGTTATAATAAAGCAATTGGATTGGACTCTAATGAAATTAAAGCACATCAAAACAGATATACATTTAATTATAATTTAAATAAGGAATCATTTATAGGAAAGAGCTAATATGACTAGGCCATTATGATTATCTTCAAGCACTTAAATTATAAACAGGCGATTCCCTTATAAACTCAACTTGAATGAAAGAACTCAAAT